TCAGGTCAGGTTGATATAAAATGGATGTTCTTTTATCACTAACATTTCTTTACCTGAATATAATCATCTTCATATCTTTCTGCATTGACACTCAACAGTACCTACTTCAAGAAATAACTAAAACGTTGAAAAAATGTTGAACATTGAATTTTACAGTTTTACACATGAGACAGAAAAAAGATTCACAAAAAACCAAATATAATTTCGTTTTTGAATTTCACTTGAATTTCCTGTTTTTAGAATTATTCTGATGATGCCACACTTTTTACGTAAACTAGCTTATTTCGGCCATTGGAAACTACTTGTTAAATTATCTATGTTATTTTTTCCCATACACGAAAATGTTTGTATAATTTTTATACCCTGTGTATACCTATATATACATTTGAAATCATGATTTCCTTATAGCAAAACGATAAGCTAATTTGCAGAAATGAATAATATTGATATGTATATACATGCTACATAATCTTAAGCAAGACTAAATGTATCAAATTTGTAAGGTACCTATATTGCAAAAGGAGATGCATTTCTGCATCTTACAGAAGTAAATTCATTAAAAACGAAAAACATCTTCTGAAAAACATCATCAGTTTTTTTCTTCTGTATTTTTTGATTTTACTCACCATCGACAATTCTGTACAAGTTCGATTTGTAACATGAAGTTTTTTAACAATTCAATATATACGAAACATTCAAAATTATGCTCAGTGTTCTGTATGAACATAATCTTGAAGTGATTTATAGAGTTAGGAAGAGTTGACAATGCACTTCATGAATATATTTGATTTTCTCAAATAAGGAGTAGAAAATTCATTGAAGGAAAAAGTGACTATAAATGACCTGTTGAAAACTGCAAATGAACTGTTCATTAATTAACATGTAGTGTATTTCTAACCCTGCCCAACTTTTAACAAAACTAAGAATAAATGATGATTTTTAGGCCTAACTTGGCATTCAGTGAAATTTATCACTAAATAGATTTTGTGAGTAACTTACAATCTACAATAAAAAATCTTTTCGTCACCGAAAGATTCCGTAATATAACGTGGTGAGCATTTTTCATTTTCAAAGCTCAGTATTCAAATCTGCGCTGTGGAAACGATGCTGCTGACAACTAAGGCAAAATCGGGACTGTTCAAATCTGGACACCACAAATTTAGAATTATTCATGCACCAGGAAGGTCAGACCGCGCAGCCACTTTGTGAAGAAAGACAACTTTCAACTTTTCATTATAATCACCAAGAGCTGAAAGAACCTTCCATGCCGACAGTTGAAACTACTGAATGGTTTGTTACTGGAGTGTGGCTCTTCCTTCTCGAAATGGCTGTGACAGGACCGGCTCATCATATATGACGCACTGTAGCGGAATCCACGCTTTCTTGCACTCTTCATAATGCAATATTTGAATTGTTTTTAATGTTAACAACCAGAAAGTCAGTCGCTCCTGTGACTGCACAACACTTAATACGGTAAATATGTTCGTGTCACTCCGGCAAGCGATTTCGTAGATCCAAAGAGGAGTTCAGTCTTTTCATCTGAATATGTACGTAACAATTTCGAAACAATTGTGCCTAATTGAGGATGATAGATATCCTCGAAGTTTCAATCTACTGAATATTGGAAGGACATCAATATTGAACCACCTTCAAGACGAGCTAAGCAGAAAATATGATACAGTAAAACTGATTCACCTTCAAAATGAATTGGTATTCTTTTATTTGAATTTGTAATTATTTTGGGTGTTGATTGAGATCCTTGTATTTTCAGTCAGTTATTTTCCAAGTCTCTACTAGATTCTCGTAGTTAATCGATTAAAACTTGAATATATCTGGAGGATAAGGTCCAAATATGGGCAAGGCACTCGATATGGGCAACCCTAAAATTATCAAAACTCAACTGCCCTATTTCACCGCATAGTTCAAACTGACTCAGATGACTATCAGATCTTCTGGAGATTTCTCTAAACTAGCAGTTGAAGGCTTGACCAGACTAAATGTGACAAGTAATGGCTGTTGATAGTCAACGTAATTTTGTTCGGAGGTGTTCCAAGTTGATGTCACACAATTATTTTTCAATTTATTTTCAATTTATTCAATTCACCTAGTGTGTAGAAAACACAATTATGATTAACATGCAGTTTCATTCTGTACTCTGATGATTTTGAAATATTGAGTTTTTCCTGTGAATAATCGTTTGTTTGAAATATGGGCCATTTCAATGCATGACATATGAAAGCAGTGAAGAGTTGATAGCATGGATCTTGTCATGAATGCTGGTAAAAGTGGAATTTCTTGCAGGCAAGTAGCCAAAACATTGAAAGTATCAAGATATAAGTTGCAAAGATTAATGAAGGAAGATGAAATCTGTTTAAAATCTGTTTTTCCGTTAACCAGCTGTCGCACCCCTACGAACGACAACCCTAAAAAGTCGAAACTTGTGCGAGCTAAGGATTAACGAGGTCTTACCTTTTAACGTGTGATTCCTAACACGGGTTGGACGATAGCAAGTGAAGATCGATCGTTCAGACTAGGGCTTGAACCACCGACCAACACGGCAGTCAATTCGAGTGAGTGAACAAAGCACCCACGCCGAACCGCTTGGCTACCGACCCCCAAGAAGTGGTGAAAACTTATCTTGATAGGATAAACTAGAACAAAATCTATGTTATTATATTATAGACATGGGAGCTGAATTTTATGGACTCACTAGGAGAGATACTCAAAGATGGAATTGCAGGTAGAAGTTGGATTAATGAGTATTTACGCAGACAAACAATTTATATCAGTCAGAAGAGTGACTGAAAATTCTTTTACTAGGGCACTTGGTTCAAATAAAGAAAATACTACTCATTTCTACAACAACCTAGAAAAGCAATATTATACCCACAATTTTCCAGCATATAGAATTTTCAAAGTCTATATATTGTCCAAAGCAAAATTATTCAGATTATTGGTAGAGAAGAAAAAAGTCAAATTGCATCCATCACATCCCCTGAACGCGAATCGTATGTGACTCTGTTTGCCTGTATGAGTAGAGGTAAGCAGTTCATTCCACCATGTTCAATTTATGCCGTCCATCCAAGTGGTTGGATTCATCAAAATTTATTTTCTGAGTAATTTCGACACTTCGCGAATTTTGTTGATCCAACTGCAGACCCTACCCTACCAATATTAGATGACTATTGCGGTGATACTCGAAATATAGATATCTCTAATTCACTTAGGAGAAACCATGTTTCTGAACATTTGCTACCACCGCATTCATCCCACGAAATGCAGCCTCTGGGCAGCACTTCCATTGGGTATTTCATTCAGTTGAACTTAAGGGCAAATCATTTTTGAAATCACAAAATGCTGAAGTTGCCGTAAATAGATTCAGGGCAACAGGAATTTTCAATAGGAATATTTTTGCAGAAGTTGATCATATAACCGAAAAAAGTTGCTGGAGGTGTGATGCAACTGACTATGATTCGAAGCCAACTCAGCCAGTTGTCAGAACGACACCCAGAATCTAAAGAAGATATTCAGCAAATGAATCTCAATGAACTTCAACCAGGATGCTCCAGGAATGTCCCCAGCAAGTATGGATCCATGGATTTTATATTGCCGTACACGATATCCCCGATACCTCCATAGCAGAACAAAATCTGGCAATAGTGGAAAATATCGTCCAAACTAGAAATCATAACCTCGTCACCACACAAAAATCAGTTAGAAATCTCAACTCAGAAAAAAGCATAGACTGACTGTAGTAATAAAGGAAAACGAAATGTATTCGGGAAAGATAATGCGACAAAAGCATAAAAGAAAACCATCAAAATACAAGGAAAAAAATAGTGCGCCAATTCGTTCGTCTCTGAAGCCGAATGCTCATTGCATCTAGACGACGAGGACAGTGATTTCGAAGAAGTCGGAACTCTTTTCGAAAATGAGGACAACACTTGCCTTTTTTGTAATGTATACTTTTTGACGATATAAGAGATGAATCGTCGTACCGAATGAGTCTTTTGAAACCCATAATTCGTGATTTTTGATTTATTTTTATGAATGAGGTGACTTTTTCAAGACTTTCATATGGTGGCTCATATTTCGAAAAATTTCCTCAAATATGCATATTTTTATGAAATTCTAGATAAAAATTAAATAAGGTTGTATTACCTGAAAACTAGATGCCTTACAATTGGAAATATAAATAATCAAATACCAAAAAACGAAGTGGGGCCAATTTTTGGACCTTTTCCTCTATTGAAGGAATTGTTTCCAGAAATCGAGAAAGTTGTTCTACTGATTTTACTTCTGGTGGTACATATATACCATACACAGCTAATAACGCCATTACTGAAATCTGCTCTATTTGAATTTGATCCATGAGGAAAAAGATACATCTTTCAATTGGCACTTTCAACATTCTAATATTTACATGTACTATTCGTTCGAAATCATTAACGTTTTCTAGATCTAAGAGACGAATTGAGCACTCGGTCATACGAATAAACTTACCAGGAATTTAGAATAGCCTACATTCGTTAATAACTATGTGCTACGTTTAGTAATCGAATCCAACACACTACTTATTGATGTTGGTTGAGTTCGAATACGGCCTCATGATCGACAATAGTGCGTCCAGGCTTCATTCCATCTCGAAACTAATCAAATTAGCCTCCCACTTAACAGGGTGTCCACCTGTATAGGTCAGTGAAGAAGCCTGTTTGGAAAGGCAAAAAAATAATAACAGCATCAAATTACTAGACAGGTGAAAAAAATATGCTTATGAAATTGGGAGAATATTGAGGTGGAACATTGTTTTTAACAATTTACTAGAATCTTTTTTTGAAAAAAGGTTAATTTAAAAGTTTTATGTAAAATAATGATCTACAACTTTTGTATGAAATATTTTTTCACATATATTCCCACACATAGTAGATGTTATAATAAAAAAGAACAGTGCTAAATAAGAAAATATATTTTCAGCACAGATACATTTTGATGTACCATCTACAACTTTCATCGTACGGAGTTCTATTTTCAGTAAAAATCGGGAAAAACAATTTTCCGTCTCTAAAAAAGTCACCAATTTCGTCTCTTGTACCTTAGATAGAAGTTATTTTTCTGTGAAGAGAACATTATTTTTCAGCTGGTAACTATTTTTATGCTTTTATCAATTTTTTACTTTTCAAAAATTATTTGCAATGCCAATAACCGATGAAAAATATTTAACATTCGATGGTGATAATAACCAAATCTCACGTATGAAAGCTATTTTCCGGGTTTGTTGGCCATGGTCTGCTGGTTCACATGTTAGCAACAACCTCGATGACACAACAGACAAACTACTCCATACAGCGGATACTACTATTCAAGCTTTTGATCTGCGGTTTTATTCCACCCGTGGTGAGCGTGGCTTCATTCTAATGACTTAACCTGATTCGTTTACAGACTTTCTTTGTGTTTCTGAATCTCTATCACCTCCCTATATAGTCTTGGATATTAGTTCTGTGTTCTGTCTCTTCGAAAGCAATAATGTCGATGCCTTCGCTGTGTGATCCGTTACTGCTGATTTTTCGGTAAGTCTAAGGTTACAATTTCTCTTGTCTTCAGAGAGTCGGGTATTTTAACTTCTTTTCGTGATTTCGATGTAGACCGATCTGCAGCTCTAAGGTCTTTAGCAGACGTTGAAACTCTCTCTGATAGTTTTCATTTGCCTGAATATTGATTGTTTTTCCAGATTTGTCCCCAATTCGGAGAAACATACAGACAATTTCAAGAAAGGAGAAAATACAGCCGGAAAAATGAGAAAATTATCAATGAAGTCTGGCTTCCTGCAATCAACTGTTTACGATTTGGGCCAATTAATGCAACCAAAAAGAATGAAGCTCGTCTTTCACCTATAGAATGAAACCAGAAATCTAAACCCTGAAAAAAGTAGCATCTGCTGTGAGGATATCTCATCGCCTTTGATGATGTCTACCGCAAGAGGTATGAAAACCTGCAGATCACGGCCAACAAATTCGGCCATAAAAATGAACACTCTTTGAAAATCTCAACTGATTTTTACAGGGCGTCTTCGTCTAACCGAGAACTCGATTGTCCCAGTAACGAGAGGGAATGCCGGAATTCGTGGTATCTCGCACGGGTGTAGGTTGGAAGAGACGAGTCAGGCCGCGGCCGCAGCGTCCCGACGTCACTTTTCAGTCACTATCAGTGTTTATATTCCGGATACCTTTTGGGTCGGTGGATGGTCGCGTGGTCTGGGTGGGGATGGCTTATTGGCACGTGGCCTGGGATCGGGACAGGCGCTCTTGCGATGCTGGGCGGTTCCTCGCTGGTGGAACTGCTGGGAGAAGGATAGTACTCCCGCGGCACGACGCCTCCAACGCCGGCGCTGCCGCTGGTGCCCGCCTGCCCCACGGCGTCCTCACTGGCCCACCGGGCTAGCTGTTGTTGAGCTTGAATAAAGTCATCACTAGAAAACAATCAATGTAACAGCACTACCAAATATTTGGTAGCAGCATTTAGCAAATATATAGGACATGTTTATCATTTTTTATTCACCAAACAATATTTAATTATTCGATTCAAGCTTCAAACATTCCGGTAAAATTATTAAAACAATATTTTAATGAGTTTTTTAATTCTCCAGTTGTAAAAACTTATGAATTACTATCATTACTATTACTAACCAGGACAGGAATGTCACCATGTTGCCATATTGAATTGAGTACTATGATACGATTTATTTACTGAATACAGATTGCTGGGTACTAAAAATAATAATAATTATAATAAAGCAGACCATCAAGGTGCCGGTAGTGCCGACAGTGAAGAACTCTATCCGATGCAAGTATCAGTTTGCATCCCAAATCGTCCGTTCCACGGTTGTACTTTCCCTGACAACAGGAAGAGCATGAACTTTTGAGTTTGCAGTGTCTACATGACAGAAGGATACAGAATGGAGCCTGTAAAGCCATCAGGAGAAATGGATAAAATTGAGATTTGCTCTTCGAACTTCACAGACTCTATCCATGTTTGGATTATTGGAGTCCTGTTGGAATGATGCCCTCTTTACTCTCGAATCCACAAATCATGCCGGCTTACCGTACTAAGGCAGAAATATTAGCCGGACAGATGCAGAAAGCTGTCATTCTCACTGCGCTTGCTTGAGGTACATGATCCACGGACCCAATGATCACTTACCCCACCGATTCAATGATCATTTACCCCACGGAAGGGAGTCGTCATTGGTAAATAATACTGGCGCGCCCTCCTGAATGTATTGGGGCTTCGGGAGGATAGGGCTCGACCAGCGCAACCAAAGTAACAATAATGATAATAATAATAAACTTTATTTCCATAGAGTTGAAAATACGAGTATCGTAAGTTATATTGATATGTGAGTTGTTCTCTATTGTCCACATACTCAGATGAATTCATTTTTACAGATTTAACATAATTCAAAATATAAATGGATGAAAAAGTCAAAATATTGAACTGCGATAACTCTTGCCGTTGAAAAGAAAACACTGTAACCTATTCCATTATTACCTTTCGCTATCAGGAGTGTCGCCACATGGTGCCCCCCTGTCGTGGTCAGCAGATTCGTAAATACTCTCCTCCTCGGCCTGATGATGGGTTAGGGGATGGGGATAGGGTAACCTGCCCGTTGGTTGCCTAAAATATTATTTTCATTACAAGAAACAAATGAAAATTCAATACGGAAAAATTTTATTTTCCTACTTTCAAAATTATTTTTAGTGATGGCCGCTATCTTGCACTGATGAATGGCTAATGAGTCCGGAACCGGTCTGTAAGTGTGCCCGTTCTAAAATTGAAGACTGGCTTGAAAGTTTAAAGTTCATTTCTTTACATCAATGAGAGTATTGAATATATATTTTACTTGAAAGGGGTATATCATTAGGAGAGATTAATCACTGGGACAGAAAGGTTTTGGCTTTCTACTTCTCCATCAATTACTTCCTTCCTTCCTTTGGAAGATTCCCACACCTTTCTGTATAGATATGGAGAAGTACAAAGCCGAGTCCTTTCTTTTCCTAGATATCTATAATTTGGTATTTTTGCAAGGTACAATCTAGAATCTAGAGCAGGGGTCTCCAATCATTGGCGACAGCCAATGATTTACTGTCATCAATCTGGCCCGCGACAGCCAATGATTACCTTATTGCTGTGATAAGTTGAAGAAGAAAACACAGAATGATAATTACAAGGTATTATTTACTTGCAAGGTAAAACTTAACGACAAAAATGATGACAAAGAAAACTTAACTTGAGTATCTAAGTTTAAGCATATCAATAACTAACAAATAATTGAAATGAATCACAGTAAAACAAAAACACTAATGAGATTTATGTAATTGTGATTTTCCACCGACAATACTTTGAAGTTGTGGATAACTCGATTGTCCCAGTAACGAGAGGGAATGCCGGAATTCGTGGTATCTCGCACGGGTGTAGGTTGGAAGAGACGAGTCAGGCCGCGGCCGCAGCGTCCCGACGTCACTTTTCAGTCACTATCAGTGTTTATATTCCGGATACCTTTTGGGTCGGTGGATGGTCGCGTGGTCTGGGTGGGGATGGCTTATTGGCACGTGGCCTGGGATCGGGACAGGCGCTCTTGCGATGCTGGGCGGTTCCTCGCTGGTGGAACTGCTGGGAGAAGGATAGTACTCCCGCGGCACGACGCCTCCAACGCCGGCGCTGCCGCTGGTGCCCGCCTGCCCCACGGCGTCCTCACTGGCCCACCGGGCTAGCTGTTGTTGNAGCGTAAGTTTGCTTAGGTCACGCACTTTGCGACTATCCTAGTCTAGAAATATAGTTGAGGGCAGAAATTGGCCCTTGGAACAAACTGAAAAAATCATTATGGCCCGAAGGCTTCAAAGTTTCGAGACCCCTGATCTAGAGTGATAACTGATGAAATTAATATAGGGAATTAGTCTATGAAGGGTCCTGATGTTAATAACTCCATACTCTGCATTACATTCCAGTCAAGAAAGGGTAAACTTCTATCATAAGGATATCTCTATAACCAATAAAAACCTTTACATCCAAGTAAATATTAGAATTGAAAACACATTCGCCAGAAGAAGTGTCAAGGTCAAACCATCACAGAAAGAGAAATCGTTATCGAAGAAAGTCTCATAGTAGTGGTAGAGTGGAAGTAAAGTAAAAAAATCCGTCTATTCCCTTTTTACCTGTATCTCCCATACACGAACCGTGAGTCCCTATTATGCGATTGGTGGGAACTCTCGCTGCACGCCGAGGAGGATTCTTGTCGATAATGCCGATCTGCTTCTGTTTCCGACATCCGTATATCCTCTGATCCACTCGGACTCATGTGGCGTGAATGATGTTCAAGTTGTCGAATGAGATCTTCGAGATTTCGAATACGGATTGGACCTACTGGCGGTACTTCTTCTTCATCCTCTTCTTCGTGTTCTATCACCACCTAAAATAGTATCAGATGTAGAATAAAGATTAGAATGAGTTTCAGAAATATGATTCAAGAGAAATGATATATTCATTTCGATATATTCTTTTGTAACTGCGTTATTGATTAAATGATACACTCATCAGACAAGGTTCTTTCATCGATATAACTCGTTGAGCTGAGCCTGCCATAGGTCACATCACTCGTGCTAGACAAATAAACCGCAGATTTTTCGTTCACTAACATATTAAATTTGTATCAAATTTGAAAAATTATTTTTACTGATAATAGATTTACTCTGTTGTTCCCTAGAAAACTGCAAAATATTTCGGAAAGTAGTTAACAGCATTGGGAAAGTTCTGGAAAAGCAACAAAGACAACACTACTTGAGCTAAGTATACCAGAGTGAAGTTAGGATAAATTACAGGCGTATGAAGCAAACATGGAAAGATTATTCAAAATGGCCTATCTCCAGGCCCAAGAGATTGTGAGGAGTGGATTTGAGTACAGCCCTTCATCCAATTCCATAATTTGAAAGACTTCGAGATGTATACAATTCTTCTGAGTTGTCTGATGACAACAATTGAAAAAACACGTTTTATTGATAGCTGCGCTAGAATTCAAGGCTGTCAAAAATGTTTTGAAAATACTGAAAACAAAGTTGGGAGGGGTGAACTTGAACGAACGAGTAAGTAAATTCCTGCTTCCTAAGTCAAAGGTATGGGGAGATGAAAAAAGGGCAGAAATCATCACTATGACTAATTGGGGAGGGGGGATAAACGAGTCCTGAACGAAACCAATAGAAAAAAGAGAAATGGGCATTTTGAAGCAAAATATTTTTCTCGGTCCTGTAGAAGATTATTCGAGGCTATCGGTTCAAGGTCATCTGGGTGATGAAGAATGCACCTTCACCATAATCACGGGAGAATATGATGAGAAAATGAGTAATGTCAGAAGAAAGTGTTGAAAACATCTCCAGAACAGAGAAAATCCATGATAGGAATAGTCTCTAGGTGCATGCAGATAGCTTCAACGATCAACATACACCCTCTTTTCGTCTTTCAGTAGCCAAAATTATGGCTAGGTGCGTTTCCGGATTCAACATCACATAACAAAGAAGCTTAATTTTGAATTTGAATTTGAATAATCAGTTATGAAAAACATTTCTTTGGATCTATTTGATGCTAAGGGCATTTCTAAGATCAGAGTATTTGTGACAGAAAACTTTCAGATTCAACAGAATTCTTAGGAACGTTATACAGGCGAGACTAGAAGAAAAATCTGAAGATTTGCAGATCTGAGGTGGAGTAACTTGAAAACGATGTTATGTTGTCATCACAGTAATACTGTGAAGATCAAGAAATTAGTTATTGCAACCTCTTTAGAGAATTCCTTTTTATATTGCCAAGTCTTCAGTCATCTAAGTTCTAAGCTTCTTCAGTAAGTAATCGGGCTGACGAAATATCAAAACTTTACATGTGTTGGTGAGCAGATGTAGTGTTCTGAGTTTCTCAACTTTTAACTGTCCTGATTCTTGCATGGCTGAGGATATATGGTAATATTTCCGGATACCAAACGAGAAACGTAGACAGCTATTCTGCATATCCAGTTGTCGAAAAGCATCCGACTGTCAAAAAGCAGTTCCACAAATACTATTGCAATGAGACATGACATGATCAGTGACTTGCAGAGTGTAAATTTGATTTTGGTTCAGGTAGCTGACATGTTTAGTGACGCGAAGTTCTGGACCGAACCACTACCCTGAATTTTTTATCTTGATCATTAAGGAAAATATTTCTTTTTCGATGCGGACTTGAAAAGTGGAATTGGTGAACTCTCTTTTTTTCTTAGGTCCAAACATCATTATTGCAGATTTATCAGAATTGAGCTTATGGGCTGTAGAAACCATCCACGGGCCGGTAGAACATCCGATATAACTTCATCCACAACAACTCTTCGAGTACGATTCTCCACATAAAGTGACACTACTTTCCGAGAAAAATCAAAGAAGACAAGTTTTATCACCCAATATCTCATGATCAAGATTATAAAAGGTCTTGCTGTAATCCAGAAGTAATGAACAGGCCAACTTCTCATCATCTCCAGCTTTGAAAAGATCGTCGGAAATTGACAGAAGACTCGTGATGGTATTAGGCTGAGGTCTGAATTCTGATTGTACAGATGTTATGATATGATTTTCATTGACATAACTTTTGATCTTATCTTTTAATATCAATATCACCAGATTAGAGAAACACAGGATCGGATACGTAACGAGAAACGTAGACAGCTATTCTGCATATCCAGTTGTCGAAGAGCATCCGACTGTCTTAAAGCAATTCCATAAATACTATTGCAATGAGACATGACATGATCAGTGTCTCACAGAGTGTAAGTTTTGATTTTGGTTCAGGTAGCTGACATGTTTAGTGACGCGAAGTTCTGGATCGAACCACTACCCTGACTTTTTTATCTTGGTCATTAAGGAAAATATTTCTTTTTCGATGCGGACTTGAAAAGTGGAATTGGTGAACTCTCTGTTTTTCTTAAGTCCAAACATCATTATTGCAGTTTTATCAGAATTGAGCTTATGGGCTGTAGAAATGTTAAAGATGGCTTGAAGTTCGTTATCAATATATGACTGAGCAGATGTAACATCACCAGACAGAAAAAAAAGTAACTGCGTGTCGTCTTCACTGTGATGTATATTGCATTTTTTACAAACATATAAAAATCACAGATATACAAGTTAAAAAGCAAGGGCCCAAGGAACTATCCACGGGCCGGTAGAACATCCGATATAACTTCATCCACAACAACTCTTCGCGTACGATTCTTCATATAAAGTGACACTGCTTTTCGAGAAAAATCAAAGAAGACAAGTTTTATCACCCAATATCTCATGATCAAGATTGTAAAAGGTCTTGCTATAAATCCAGAAGTAATGAACAGGTCAACTTCTCATCATCTCCAGCTTTGAAAAGATCGTCGGAAATTGACAGAAGACTCGTGATGGTATCAGGCTGAGGTTTGAATTCTGATTGTACACATGTTATGATATGATTTTCATTGACATAACTTTTGATCTTATCTTTTAGTATCAATATCACCAGATTAGAGAAACACAGGATAATTGTAATTGATCTCAGATCAGAAAGGACTGTAAGTGAGTAATATTCAGTTAGTGGAATGATCAATACACCCTTTCCAAATTTTGGAAATTGGCAACTGGTAATGATATAGTTTATGGGAAAGGTGAAGTGATTTATCAAAAAAGAGTTAATGATATTATTCATTTTGAGGAATATCCCGTCTAAACCCAAAGCATTATTCTTAATGGAGTGAAGTGGAGTGGTGGAGTGAAGAGAATTTTCAGATTCTTTCAAAACATAACGATCTAATAAGGACAGTTGGTGGGTGGATCTGATAGTTGAGGTATGGAATTGAAGTACTGGTTAATGATATTGACGTCGTTTAATTTATCAGGGATATCTGAATTTTTATTGTTCTTCAGGATATCAAAAGTTCTTGAAGTATTCCCAGTTGATTTGGAATTTTTATCTCGTAAACCGAAATCGAGATATTCCGAATCCTTCATAACTATTCCAATAGGCGATCAATGATGATTTCTTGTATTTACTTAAAGCACAATTCTTGAGTGAAATCATTATCTTTACATCGTAAGTTAACCAAGGTAATGGAGGTGCAGGTACTCTTTCCTTTTGAGGAGGTGTGTGTTTTTGCCATGCAATCTACATTATCGAATTGATAGATGAGATCCCATTAAATATTCAGAACGCCTGTACGGAAGAGATCAGAATCGTAGTTACGATAATCGCAAAAAGTCACCATTTTAACTTTTCTAGACGGAACAGAAGTATTGTTTTTGCACAACACTGTCAGGTGGTTTGAAATTCTCTGAATATCAGTCACATCTACATCTGATATTCTTATCTCATAAGAAACGAGGATGATGCCAGTAAGGAATTGAAAGTGAGCAGTTAATCGGGTAGGCTTCTCGATGAGATGGGAGAGACCGAACGAATTCATAAAAAGTTCAGAAGAAAAGAAGTTGAGAACGTTATATTGCCAGGGTCAGGGACGGACGAGAGACTAGACACTCAAGTGAGTCTTCAGTCATCTAAGTTCTGAGCTTCTTTAGTAAGTATTCGGGCTGACGAAATGTCAAAGCTTCATGTGTGTTAGTGAGCAGATGCAGTGTTCTGAGTTTCTCAACTTTTAACTATCCTGATTTTTGCATGGTTGAGGATATATGGTTATATTTCCGGATACCAAAGAAGAAGGGGGCCGATCTTATGTTTCGAGGGTTTTACATCTGTGGGTTGTTGACATCCACAACTATTCAAGATGAGAACTTATTTGACTAAAAGAGGCAAAAAGCATGCCTACATATCGAAAATGAACTGGAAGCAATGATGAATCATTTTTGAGAGAAACCAGCGTTAAAACCAGATAGAACTATGCCGGACGGAAAATAATGGAGATAATGGAACGGCCAATCTTAGTCCACACAATAGAGATACCAAGCGAAGTAAACATCTATTGTTATACCTATTCACAAAAAAATGAATTAGATTAGAAATGAATAATTATAAAGGCATCTTCTTATTAACCCCCAATATTACACCTATCAGAATTATAACGAATGAGAAAGCGTTCAAAATAGTGTGCTATTCTCATTTCCATAGTATCTTATAATTTGGTACATAGTTTTAGCACTTTTAAATTTTTTTTCACAGCGGAGAAATCAGTGTACGAATAAAATATTTAGTAGGTCATATATTCCACCCAGTCTGAAGGGTGTGAAAATTTATACACAGGTATGTGAAATTAGTGTCTTTCTATCTGTCGGGAATATTTTCAAGTTGTATTTGTGACTCTTCAAATGAAAACGTGTATCTATTGAGTATGCCAAATGTCCCAAATCGTAAATAATAATATATAGTCTAGTATTTTTGCAAGCCAAATTACTTGATTATCTATGAAGGATAGTAGTTAGAGATTTGCATTTTATGTTACTTGGTTGCTCCGCTGATTCACTACATATATGGACATTTATTGACATCAATTACAAAGATAACATTTTGTTAAAACCTACCTGCTGCTCACAAATATTTTCCTTGCTTGAACTTCTTTTGTAGTCCGAGTAGCTCTCGGCACACTGTGCTAAACTTCTTCGCAGAAGTTCTTCGCTCAAAACACCACTGCTACCACTAGGCGTTAACGTTCCTCTTCGGGAAGCAGCGTTTCTGAGGGCTTTAATAATATCCTCATGATAACCATTCAGGGTTTTCAGTGTTCTTTCCACCTACAAAGTGAGTCAAGTCAAAATATGCTTCTTATTTTGCCATTATTGATAAATCAATATTGAAAGGGTTGAGTGGAGAAACTGCACCCTTTCCTCACATTATCCTTTTTTATTTGCAGAAATATAAGGTTGTAAGTATTAATCATGTGGGGAATTAGGTCAATTATTATTAGAATGATTGCGATTTGATTTTTTTACTTATGTCTATTTACCGGATTTCTATTTATCGCTATTATGTCTATTTACCGCTATCTGTTACAATTTTATATTTTTTGAAATTTTCAGGCTCTCAAATGCACAAAAAATCTGGTGTCCCATACTACGTTGTTGAGTAAAAAATGATTTCCTTACATTCTTCCTACATCTAAAGTTGCAGTTCTAAGAAATAAAAATCGCAAGTTTCATCGACTGTAAAATACAGTAACAATTATATTAACAGTCACGGAAGTACCTACGCGATAATCAAGTTGAATACTTTTTTAGAATCGAATAAATCACCCTTGTATTGTTGCACACCCAATGTGTATCACCGCTATTCGAAATACCATCGGTGTCATCAGAAGATGGACACATAAATTATTGAAAGGAAAATATCCAACCAATTGATGATTCGAACACATCAAAAAACGCCTTCAGACTTATTTCAGTTCCTTAAATTGAAATAGAAACAATATCAAGCAGCGTACTAGAGGCATATTTATTACTCAACGTCTCAATTCAACACTTCCAAAATACAAATACTAACACTGGTATTTATACTTCAATGAGAATTTTAACTCAACTCATACAATTACTTCACTATGTCACTTTCGTTTTCTTAGTCTATGTTAACTTAACTTTGTAACTAAACTAAATGAAATCGGATATGTCAAGGAAAATGACATTATGTCAGGTCATGGAAAAAGGGAAACATGTTCACAAGAACGAAGAAGTTCTTACTGCTGCTTTCTGCATATTGAAAACATGACATCGAAGTACACTTTTGACACAAACTTCAGGATATAATTACAAACTGTAAACAGCCATTACTGAAGTTACTGAAGTAATACAGGCAATATGTGCAATATTATTATAAATAGCCAGTCTGTATACGAATTATTGATGAACCTAAGAATGAAATCGAGACGTGTCCGAAAACGCTGTGAAGAACTTAAAAAATGGCAGACTGGAATAGAAGTATTTCAATTGCTACTCTCCTAACTTGAACTCTTGTTGAGGTTCTAATGAATAGTTTTCTTTTGTGCGCTTCATCTGCTCTCTACTTTTATTCTCCACTCGGTACCTTGCTTTGGGGGTTGGCGATCTCTTATATATTTTGGAGACTAGCTCGTTTTTTTTTGAACGAATGGTGTCTTGATCTGGAACCTTCATTCTCTTTCTTTGCATTTGGGGAACTCTTTCATGATCTAGCAGTAATGAGATTAATATAGTAGGTCAACCGTTGGCGTTGGGTGATGTTGCAAATTGTCGACGATAAATGACTTATAATGACTTTTTGACGAAAGTTGAAGGCTTCAGAAATTCAGTTTGCTTTGGTTTTGCTGATCCCGGAAGGCAACTTGGTATACTTTTTCCAAAGCAGCTCTGTTAACAGGCTGGGAGGGTATGCTCGAGATGGTATTTCAATACGTTAACCTGTTCATTTTCGATAGTCATATATATATTTCTCTTTGAATATCCTAGCTGTTTTCAATCAATTGATGTGACAATCTGTCTGATATCTCTTGGACGAGCTTCTTTCCTACTTCTTCTTGCGATGCTTCAGCAACTCATTTTCATATCTTCTCTCCATTTTCATTCTTTATTTTGATTTCTGTTTTTTTAGTTTTTTCAGAAACGTATCTTCCTATTTAGTTTTTTCAGTTATTATTTTCTTCGGTTTTTTTTCTAGACTCTACGTCAACTCACCCTATCTTGTCGTATCAATTTATTGGAGTATAATCGAGGCATATTTATCATTTAACGTCTCTATACAATACCCTAAAAATACAACGTTTGACACTTGTACTTATACTTCAACAAGAATTTCAACAAAATTTTTTCGCCTTCCTAGTCTCTGTTAACCTCAAAAAGTCTGTAACTAAACTGAAATGAAATTGGGTATGTCAAGGAAAACGACATTATTCCAGGTCACAGAAAAAGTGGACCATACTTACGGGAACGAAAAAGTATTTACTGCAACTTTTTTGGATATTGAAGGTGCATTTGATAAAACATAACACCAAAGTACACTTTCGAAACAAACTTCAGGTTATAGTTACAAACTGTAAACAGCCATTACTGAAGTAATACATGCAATATGTGCAATATTATTATAAATAGCCAGTCTGTACACGGATTATTGATAAACCTTAGAATGATATCGAGACGTGTTCAAAAATGCCGTGAAGAACTCAAAAAATGGCAGACTGGAATAGATCGACTCTATACTGGGTGGAAGGAGACTCAAAAATTATGGGTAACGAAGAAGCTGATGAGTATGATAGGTACAAATCCCTGAACCAGCTGTGCCAAAATGTTTGTGGCAGAAGTGAATTACGACATGAGTCGATACGAAATATGAAGAGTAGATACTGGAAATATACATCGGGGAACACATACGGGCGAAATTTTATAAAGGGACTTGCTGGAAAAGTAACTGAGGAGCTGCTTCAACAGAACAATAAATACAGGACTTCTCACGTCCTCATTCAAAGGACATCTCAACAAAATAGGGCTGTATATTGAAAACCCTAGCAGAAGCAATAGATTGAAAAGTTTGTGGTTCGTGTCACAAAAGGTTTACATATTTCATTTTCAAAAATTTAATGAACAGCGGTTATACGAGGGAAATACAACAAAGTCTACAAAAAAACATGTGAAGTGTTTTTCTACAATAAATGCCTTCAAATCTTTTTTGAATTTCTAAGATATTTCGACCTCTGTTAATGTTAATGGGAGTTTATTGTAGATGATACAGTTTTTTATGAGACTCGTTGTTGGGATAGTAAATTTCAATTAACGAGCATGTCTAGTAAAGCCATGTGTTTGAGTTGTCTGAGACAGTAAGATGAATAAATGAAATTCCTAATAACCAGTCGTTTGCATAGATATCTAATAGCCCTTTTTTCTGGACAAATATTGAATTGATGAACTGTTTGCATAATACCCCCCAAATACCAATCCGTACCTCAAGTACGAATCAAATATGGAATGATAAACTCCAAACTTAGGACTATTCGAAAGGCATAACGTCCTGTGGATAGTTTGTTCGACAAACTTGAGGTCTCTGTTTATATTTATACCTGGGAACCTAGTATTTATTTCATTTTCTACTGCATCATTTCCCAGTATACAGATTTTTACAGATATTTTCGTTTCTATTATGCCATCATAAAGTGGTGTCTTCAACGAAAACAATGAAGAAACTAGACAGGCTTAGTATGGTAAAATCATGAATACGTAATGAAAATAGTAAATATGCTAAATTAGAATTAGACTTCACGAATTATTTTCGATCTGCATATTATGACTCGAATCAGGTCAAATAATTATTATTGATTTCATAATGGTGGAGTTTCCGCAAAGGTATTCTGTTGTCTACTCTTTTGATAACTTACACAAACTTACTTACAAACTGTTGCCTCACCATTATACAAACTACAGCAAGTTTGTTGTGAAAAAAAATATCGCAAGGAGAGCGCTTTTGCCTTCTTGAAAACCGAACCGTTGATGATTTTATCGATCGGTAGATTGGCATCTACTCTTGAACTAACCAATTTATCGATCACTTTCGCTGAAGTTGGAATCAACGATATTTGTCTCTGGTCATATAGGTTATCCCTGTCACTGTCTTTATGCGGTCCTTCCTGATATTTTCAGGAGGACGGAAAGGTACCCTGTGAGGAAACACGTATTTAACCAATACCTTTAGGGCGCTGGTTGGTAACATCTCAAAAAATCCATTCCAGAAAATGTTTTGATTTCGATATTTTTGACGGTATTCACAATTTTTTTAATATCAGTGGTATACAACTTGAATATCTCTGTAATAGTTACTTTTTGCAGAAACATAAAGGGGTCACCTGAATTATTAATATTACTTGTTGAACTTTCAGTAGTAGAAAAGAAACAATTATTCCTTCGATCAGAAGGTATTGAAGTCCCCATGGGTTTTTTTGATATAATTTCTACGTGTCAATTCGTTTACTATTTTCAATGCTCCTGATATTGTGTCATGAGTTTTATTCATTCTTTCATTACAGTGCCTCCGATTTACTTCTATGATGGGCAGAAATATTCGGAAACCATATTGTAGGACCTCTATTTATTGATCAAAATTCAACAGGGGAACTGTATTTGAATATGCTGGAAACTACTGTTGACACTCTCATCACTGAAACAGTCGAAGCGAATCCTGATGAATTGGATATGGATATTGTATTCCAACAAGATGGAGTACCACTACTTTACTCCAAACAAGTAAAAAACTATTTGGATACTATTTTTCCCGGTCGTTGGACTGGCCGTCGAGGTCCTATAGAATGGCCAGTCCGTTCGCCATATCTGACACCTATGGGTTTTTTATGGGGTTATTTGAAGCAAACGGTGTACGAAACTGAACCTGCATCAATATTGGATATACGGCAGAGTATAATAAATATTTGTAGGGATATTGACGTTACTGTGTTCGAAAATGTTCGGCGTGAAATATTGGATAGGTTGTTCATATATCAAGAAGTTCAAGGCAACTATTTCGAGCATCTTCTGAACTGACCTCAAGCTTATTACCCCATATTATGTAGTCGAATGTCAATGTATTCAGGCATTTCTGGCATTTTGTAGTAGTTGAAGATATTGATATTATGTTCAGTATCCTCAAAAAGATGTGTCACAAGACCTTCTATTTCCATTTTTTTCTAGATGGCGCCCAGTCGCCATCTTGAAAGTTTCATCTGTCAATTTCACTTCAAAATAAAGTATTCATGTATTAATTTTGTTATCCCAAATTTCAGTTGACCCGATCAAAAAATAAAAGGGAGGGGACATTTAAGAAATGCACTGTATAAGGAATATAACGAATTGTCAACCTGTCAAAGCCAAAACGAATATTTTTTGAATAATTGATGTATTTTTAATAACATATAACTACATCGATGATTTATGATAAAATGTTTTGAAAATAAAGTATAGGTTTTGAAAAATATTGTTTAAATAAAAATGAAAATGTGAATATTTATGGATTTGTGCTTGGGAAAAGTGGTTTCGTGTGGCACCCATGGTCATCTGTATGTTCGACATGAATCAAACTCTTAAATGAAAATGAATGCTTGTACTTACGTCTTGAGCCCCCGAACCGCTCATTAATTGGGCCATGCTTGCCTCAGCCTGGCTCATAATTTCGTCATGTTGACTTCCATCTGCCCAGCCATCTTTACCATCTCCGATCATCAAACCGTAGTCATGCTTCTTGAGAATACCCTTCTTCTCAGGAAGTTTGAGATTGTTGTGTTGGAGGTCTATAAACGAGACAGATTCTTCTTCACCTTTATGGAATGAAACTAAGGTCAATTCTGTTATTGTTGGGAGTGTTTGCATTTGTGAAAACTCTATCCAGTTGGAAATGATTCACTTGTTTTCAAATTTCGAGAGACCTCTGATTGTGATGATTTATTACATGAAAAATGAAATTTTCTGATTATATGCTCTTTTACGAAAATATACCTGATCAGAATGAAAATTAAAAGTGATCAGTGTTACACGACCGAACAAGTTATTTTATAGTGAAACAATTTTTGCGGGTTTGTGAACTGTTTAGTGGAAATCTCACAAAAATTGTTACTTGAATCATTGATTTTTATCAAGTATCAATCAATAACATACTCTTATTATATTTCAGTGTGGAATATTGTGCTTGTGTATCCTCTGAATAACTTTAAAAAATCTTCCGCATAGGGATAAAAACATATATTTTCCCAATGAATGAAAAATACACAACACAACAAAAAAATATTTTTTGAATGTTTCCTACACTGAATTAGTCAATTTCTACTAATTTTGGGGTGATAAAAACGAAAATAACAATGAAAAATTTTTATTAGCTCTGGTTTTTGAGATACACAGTACTTAATCTTAAAGAGTAGTTATACTATACGTGAAAAGTGAAAGTTATGTTGAGGAAGGAAAAATATCTTTTTTTTTCGGTATCAATGACATCGACTGCTTTGGAAATTACCAAATTGAAAATCACTACCCAATTATCTTATTTTGTAAAAAAACTACTGATATATCTATTGTAATATGATGTAATATGAAATTTCCTTAAGTTAACAATACCGCTTCGTCCGAACCTGACTAGCGGAGGAGTATTTCAGTAACCAATTACAGTAGTAATGAGAAATAAATTAGCCCAAAAATAGTATGGTAGATTTTTGACACCAGTAACCACCAAACAATTTTAAATGAATCACAATTAGTTAATCGACCAGACAGATCCTACTCATCCGTAGTTACCCAACAAAACTCCAAATTTTGAAGCGATTGAAGCGTTAGCCAAATCTGGACATACTCCTATTCTGAGATGAACAGAATTATTATTTATTTGAAATATCTGTAGATAGCGCAATAATAGAATATCCATCGGGTAATCCTACAAAAAATTTCATAGGACTCAACTTTTTTGGTATGAATGGTATTGTGGTCGTCGTAAGTTCCAAAAACGGACATCAACTGTTCAATACGTTTTCTGCAGGACTTCAAAACGGAGGGCTCCCAAGGTTTGATTTGTAAAGAAAGAGTATACTGGGAATGCATGCTGATGAATCGATTAATATCTTTTGTATACTTTCCGGCAATGCTAAGGGGATTGACATTCTCGAGAAAGTCCTTTATAGATCACGTCCTTTATCCATCACGTTCTAGCCTAACAAAGGAACCAGATAAACACTTTCGGTAGGAAAATGAAATTTCTGCGATCACTTTTTCACAGGAAGTAAATATTTCAGAAATTCGTAGCCCATAGGCAGAAACGAATAAACAGGAAAGTAATCCAAGTTTTGATAACTTCCACACACCCGAACTGAAAATTTTGAAGAAATATTGTCAAAGCTCATCATGGAAAAATTTGAATTCTCTCGTGGAAGAACAGGTTTCGCCATCTATAAAGGACTTTTTCGAGAATGTTTATGTAAATCCCCTTAGCATTGCCGAAAAGTATACAAAAGATATTAATGGATTTATCAGCATGCATTCCGAGTAAACTCTTTCTTTACAAATCAAACCTTCGGATCCCTTCGTTTTGAAGTCCTGCAGAAAACTTATTGAACAGTTGATGTCCGTATTTGGAACTTATGACGGCCAAAATAACATTCATGCCAGAAAAGTTGAGTCCTATGAAATTTGTTGTAGAATTACCCGATGCATATTCTATTATTGCACTACAGATATTATTTCGAATAAATGAACAATTGGATTTCCTTATATTTCAGCAAGAACTCACAAATTACTCATTTTTGAGTATTTTGGGTTCGCGTTTCAAATCTTGCGCAGAAAATGCGCAGTTTCACACATCTGTGAAGATGATCATCAAGTTACAAATCTCAATCATACTTTAGTTGTAGAAACTGCTAAATGGGGTGAAAGGTAACATTCATTATTAATATAACACATAACTTTTATATTCGAATTGAAATGCGCATCAGAAATAAGGAAGGAAGGAATGTAGCAATTCTAATATACGGTTATATAATGCCAGTTGGAATGATTGAACAATGTTTCTAGCCATCTTTATGACTAGAAATATGAAGTACAAGAGTGTATACTTACATAACCATTTATTTTCATACGATTAGTAGAAAATACAGTAGCAGAATGACGCGATTTACCTGAAAGTCCTTGGTCATCTTCACTAGCAGATCCAACTCCAACACGTTTTAGTTGTTGCAGCTTGTGTTCTCTGAAACACAGACAGAATGATTGTATGATTTTTTTCTATTACTTGGTACGAAAAAGAATTCACGTTTCCAGGAAAAGAAACGCTGCTGGCAAATGTCTGAGAGAAGACAAAGATCAACAATACCAGAAAAAAGAAGCGCAGAAAAAAAAAACAAAAATTAACAGCATTGAATATGTGTACCGAGGTCAATTGAAATAAAAATGGATCCTGGTAAAAAAAAAATAGGTTGTAATGCCCAAGGAACAAGAAATTATTCAGTCGATGGATGCCACAACCGGAGGAGTTTGATCTAGCAAGTTTCCGAATATGGTGCAGTTGTTTTCTAGACTCAGTAGGATTCCCTCTGACCTACTATATTGCAAATGGGAGAGCCTATACGGGACAACAATGGGTAATCAATTGCACAAGGAATGTGCCAAACTTACTCCGGGAGTCATCGTGTGGTTATACTAACCTTGAAGGGGTTTTCCACAGCTACAGTCTTTACTTGATGAATAAGAGAAAAAATAATTGGTTTCTCGCATTCAGCCGACTCCAACAGGAATAAATCATTAGGCATCCACTGTGAGGAATAGAGATTTGCGACTTTTCTATTGCTGTATGAACTATGATGCAGTTGAAGGGAGCAATCAGGTTGGTCAACGCTACGACGCAATAGCGATGGGAAGCGAAATGAAATATTTGTAAAGTGATATTGAGTATTCGTATACTTATTTTTTATTTAATTCAATCCGCATCAATCACATAGGGCTATTAGCCGCGGTACATATGAGATACAATTTATATCAGTATATATTGAATAGAATTAAATACACGGAAACGTTTGAAATATTTTATAACATTATTCCATTCGCTATTTAGGGCGGTGGTTATGAATTCACCAAAAGCACATAAAAATGCTTGATATGACATTAATTTATGAGGATTGAATCTCAGCAAAAATTCAAATTCAAATTGAACAGGGTCAATTTTGGTTCTGATATAATGAGTTTATGTAGAATGCTGACTCATTTATTCGACATGTTTCAATAATATATCGTGTTTTTAAATGATAACATCAAAATACAGGTAAAATTATTAATATTTGCAATCTGGCAACACTGTTCGCAAATCTCATTCTAAACCCTGTTCGATTGTCCTTCGTCATAAACTGTGGATGAAAAGTTGTGGGTAACTTCACACTAATCGCTTACCGGACATATCCTCCTTTTTATAATGTAAAAAGAAATAGACAAAATAGTCCTCACAAATACCGATCCTATGACAATATTTCAGATCATTGCTCGGCAGGACTTGAAGCGTTTTCTTTTTCTACCCAGACAATCTTATTGTCGAGCAATGAATCGAAAGTGATCTGTGGTGCATTCAAGGAAATGGAAAATCCAAAACTCAATATTAGAGGGTTCATTTACTCAATGGTAGGTTTCTAAAAGAAAATGATAAGACAAAATTTCCTCCAGTAGAGTTCAGTACACAAATCCATAAAAGTAGGAAACTTCAGGATTGGCATCAAGTATCAAACTAATTCCTATATGATGATTTATATCTGCAATAATCCTCAAATCGACAAAACTTCATAACAATACCAAGTCGCTGATCTTCAGTACACTCACTTATTAACTGAATGTCCTATTTTCACCGTGCACCAAGAATTCTAAAATTCGTGGGACTAGTGATCAACAAACCTATTTAAAAAAACTCAATATTTTATGGAAGGATTGGATAGGACGAGAGACAACCCTTGACAGTTTCTGTCTTTGTTGAATTCACACCTCTCATTCGAAGGAATAGGATAAGCGTAGTGCGGACATAGATTGTATTCGATGGTTCGCACGGAAACTAATGAATGATATACAGGTAGATTTATAATTATATTTTTGAAGGGAGAATTATTGAATGGTAATTTCATTAACTTTTGTTACCAACGTGAGGAAATAAGTTGCTTATTATTAGGAATTTACCTATAATAAGACTTCTGGGAAAATGAACTGAATCAGAATGAAAAAAGGTTATTTTTGTGACCTGAGAGAAAAGTGTGGGTTAAAGAAGGTTTGTGAATAGTTTTCTCCCAGTTAACAAGTTTGTAAAGAAAAATAAAAAATATTGAGATGTAAAACCAAGTATAACATTCCTTCATCTTCTGTCTTTTTCATGATAATGATAATAACCACTATTGAGCACAACCATCTCATTTCTGTTAGGTGACATGCATTATAACGATGGTAATGTATCAATTTTCGTGATCCCATGCTGTTATTTTGATTTAACGGTATTCAGATGACAATTGAAGAGTTAATGTTAACAGTCTTCGTCCGTTAAGATTTTTTAACGGTTGGCGGCCGTGTGGCCTCATTACTATGACATAGTTGTCTCATTATCTTCATTCCCTTTGAAACTGAATTTTGAATATACGACTCAGCCACTGCAGAGGAGTTTCAACCTCCAAGTTCTTTTCCCGATAGTAGATCGCCACCATTTTCTACAAACATAGTAACCGAGGTTTTTATATCCACAACGTAAGTCCTTCCACCATTTTCACAATGGAGAAGGAACTCCACAACGAATTGCCATTCTTAGACGTATTGATGAAGAGAACCGACACTAAATGGGAAACATCTGTATATCGAAAACTCATTCACACAGGACAGTATGTGAACCAGGAATCCAACCACCATCAATCGACTAAGAGAGGAATCATCAAGACTCTACTAGACCGTGCTTTTGGACTCTGTAATACAAAGGTGGAACAGGCTTTACCTAGAAGACAGGAAGAGAATCCGTCACAATCAGTACTTGTACTTCCCTACATCACGGGATTGTCGGAAAGGATAAGAAGAATTGGGTCTAAGTATAACAACAGAACCTGTTTCAGATGTGGGAACACTATCCGTAGCAGCCTCACGAAAACTAGGTCACCAAACGCGGACTGCGATTCCAAGAATTGCATTTACCGGATACCCTGCGACCATAGGAAGTTTGCATTGCTGAGCACAAGAAACACACACAGCGAGGAGAAACCAGCAAATCAGGAATAGCAATAGCAATAGTTTGGACTCATTAACATAACATCAAGTGGGCTCAAGCTGAAATCATCCACAAAAAGGAACACTGGTTTAGGAGAAAATTCAGAGAAGCCACATATATGTTGTCCAACAACACATCTAGTCAAGCCGGCGTAAAGATACGCAACATATGGAAACCTCTAATCAAGCGGAACACGACCAACTCCCGCCAAACGGTCAGCTTTCGCTAAAACGAAGCGGAAAGAGGGAAGAGGGGATGGGTAAAAGCACTCGAGTGACCTATAAATAGTCAGATCTCTGAGAAATGAGTCCAGTTATCACCTGAAGACGATTGTGGATACTAATAATCGAAACGTCGTGAATTAACTTGGTTTGGAATATTTTAATTTATTCTTCCGGGGATTCCAAATCAATTTATATAATTCTAGACAATGGAAGTCCGAACTAATGAAATGCATCATGAAACATTGTCAACCACCTTCAAACATACATAGTTACCAAGGATCTGCGAAACGAGTGTCCTGTGTAGAGCTGAGAATTTCCCAATTTTGAGAATGCTGCAATTTTTTTGAAACAGCTCCAATAGTATGAATGCTCACACATGTACACAATTATCACTCCTATAACTAATGAAGGATTTCCAGATTTGCAAATTTCCAAATTTGGAAGTCGCAAATCTACTTACTTTTGGTATGAACCATATGCATCAAAAGAAAGTCCTTAGTATACCTCAATGTAACCAAAATCTGGTACTGAAAATACCGTCAAAAATAAACCTCAAATGTTCCTTTCGTAGGCAATAATACATCTTCATTTACCACCTTTGCATTCTTGCTTTTACGCCACTATTTTTCATATTCTTTTTGATATCGTTGTTGAGATATTTTCGGTAGTAAATCAACCAGTAAATCAGATTCCAGTAAATCAGATTCTCCCAATATTTCTAAAGAATTTTGATTTTGTTCTTCAATTTCATCCACGGTCGTTGTTAAAGCGAACTCGCGAACACAAAAAACTGATGTTGTTTATAATATTGTTAAGCTGTTCCATGACAACACGATGTTGGGTACGTGCTTTGTTCTTTCCTCGAAATCAAAATGTAATTTTTCAGCAGGATTACGAAAAGTCTTGAACGACACACGGCCGATACGCAAATAACGGATTCGGTTGTTATAATCCTCGGCTGTGCCTCGGTTACAATATTCAACCTTATCCGTTATTTGCTACATATCGACCTTGTTACGTTAATAACTATTCCAGTGAACGAGAATTCGAAGAATTTCCATTAACCCTAGATTACGATCAATGCATCTTGAACGAGGTAAATGGATAAATGTGAAAGTTAATACTTGTATACTTGTATTTAAATTTTGGTTGAAGTTATTAAAGTTGAGTAGGTTACTGTTATTGAGAACTTATAAACATTAGAATACTTACTGATAATGTGATGGCCCTCCTGATCCCATATGATTTGATGGCCGGAATAACACTCTCTGGGAATCAGCTCGACTAATACAAAATTGAAATTGATTAGTAAGTAAAATACAATCGGATGAAATGTACAAAGATTATAATACAACGTTCTCTACCTCATTGTAGCCATTGAAACATGCTTGCTACAATGACGGCATATTTGAATTGGATTGTTAACGAACTTGAAAATTAATTGCAAGATTCGATTTCTATTGGTAACAACCTACGATCCTGTCTAGCTCAGCTCGTATAACTTGCTTTATTATTGTTTATCTAACATACTAACGACGAGGCGGAGAGCAAATGCAAAGTTTGTACAAGCAGCGTAACACACTTGTTAATTTAGAACGACTAATAATTCGGATTGAAACAGAAATGTGTTCTGGTAGAGATATACAAATAGGAAACGTATGCTCCTTATACAAGTTTGAACAAAGCGCCGAGTGGTGAATAGTTGGAACCGGAATGAATTACTTTCGAGGATTACCAGAACGTAACTACAATCGATTTTTTATTTTCGTCATAGGTTTTTCTCCACTGCAGAAGCTTTTACCGAATGTTACTGATTATGTTTGGAATAATATGTTGTGATAAGATGAAAGAACTTTCAGCTGAACGAAGTATTCCTTCTCAAACCCCTGACCTTTAAAAGGAAAATTCTGGGTTTGGATTCATAATTTAGCATTGATTATAATTCAAAAGTCGAAATTTCGGATACAAACTTGAGATTCTTACTTTAAAATTGTGAATTTACACTCGCAATTTCAGCTTTGAACTTATTATTCTCAATGGTTCGACTACAAACTTGAAATTCGTATTTGAATCCATTAATTTGAATCTGATTTCGAACTAATAATTTCGAATTCAAACTCGGACTATATCCTTAAAAATATCTCTTTCGAATATGTCAAAGGATATCTGCATGGATTATAATTAAATCAAATAACACTTAATTCTGAGATTTTCACAAAACAGTTTTACAAAAAAGCAACACGTGTTTCGCTATATAATAGCTTCTTCAGGAGTTGTGATTCACTTTGGAACATTTGGAGTTTTATCCTTAATACCAAATCGTTATTTTTAACACCTCGGCACGTGTTTTAATTACCAAGTGATCATCTTCAAGAGAAAGATTAAACTCTCTTTAATCAGCCGATTCTATCACATGTATTAAGAGATGATCAAAGTTTTTGAAAATTACAGAAAAGTTGCGGTGGAATTGAAAAGAAAATTATGAGAAATACAGTAATTTAAAGTTCACGATGTTGTTCATTGCAAAATTCATGTAAAATTAATGGAATATCAACTCCATGTTCATTTCATCAATACTTTTCAGATAATGGTGAATATCAATCCAGAGCATTAAAGTGTGGAAATCCAGTAGGCCATAGAAGTACAAATTTTCTTGCTAATTCTATTTTACTAATATTCAACTCCACTACTCTTCACTATTTCATTTTCAACATTTGATTATTTTCTCTATGAACGCCACTTGTCTTACTTGCAAATAGTGTATAGAAAATATGTGTTGCGCTCAGTAAACTGTAGACATTAAAATCTTTCAAAAAATTTAATACTTTTGATATCGATAAATATTATAGATTAAGAGGAAAATAGAGTTTTCCCCTTATTTCACCTCTTTGCAACTTAACATTTTCTTTGTTTTATATGGTTTGGTATTACCTTAACCCAACAAAAATCAATCCTCATATATTACCAATTTGCAGTGCCACTGTTTTGAAATAGAAAACACAAAGGACCTTGACGAAATATTATGGAGAAAAAACCTATAACAATCAGAAAACTTTGACATTTCATTCAGTAATAATTGAAACGCGTCAAATAATTGATATACTATTTGCCTTTGCATGCCTTGTTCAAAAGAATATGGCCTTGCATACATTAATTTTTCAAGTTGTTAAACATGGAAAACTGAGCATTGCTTAACAAAGCTCAGACAAACTAATGAGCAAAATGAACAACATGATCTAACGAATCTAATGAAGACGCTTGCATTCATGAAAATAATAAAAAAATGTGCACTCATACGACTCTCGTACAGGGTGAGAAATGGCAGAACTTATTGCGAGCGAGTGGAGTGATTATCATAATGAGTTGAAGGTGTAGCGCTTCGAAAATGAAAAATAAACATAAGATCTTGAAATGCCGGAATAATTATCTTACTATGACTAAAGCAGCTTATTTTCTGACTTTAAGAAGCGAAGCAGTGAAACAATCCACGTTTTTGCTCAATAATAATTATGCAGTCAAGCTGAAACAATTTTGAAAATCTACCTTTTGGAATTATTTTTGATCGAAGGGCAAGACGAGTCACATCCAGTTACATACCTATGGATGAAATTAACGATGTGACATAAGTTTCAAACGATACCATCTATCTGCCTTGGGAAGATGATATCAAACTTATGTCGTGAGATGCTGATCGCAATATTGAAACGTTTAAAGCTACATTGCCCGAGCCAAAAAGCCATTTGCATAACGAGTTTTGAGGTTACGCAAAATTAGCTCTATTATCGTAATTCTACTGACAAGATGAAGATATTGAAGTTACCAATTCACATCACAAATATGAATGCCCTCTTAAAAGTAAGGACATCAACGATACATAAAGAAGCGATGATCACTTTGTTCAGAATGGAGAAGGAATAGGTGGTTGAAAGAGTAGGTTTCTTCATTTAATTGCAAATATCTCATCTCGGAAAACGTTCAACTTAGAGAACAAAGTTATACCGTATGTTAATGACTAATGGTATATTCTGACCTTTTCCTGTATTTTTTCTGCAACGGGTTCCGAATATTCAAGACTGCATTGATTATTTTTAACTTTCTGGCTTTTTAGGAATGACATACTTTCGATTAATAATGTTTCACTTGTTTTTTTTTTCGTCCATGGCGTCACATGGATCACAGCCTAGTCTGAGATTAAAAAAAATATCCTTATTCAAAAACTTTTGTCTGCAACATTTTTTCATCTATTAAAAAAGATCAACAGAAGATCTTGACCTTCCACATTAGCAACCGTACCGTATAGAGTATCTTTGTGAACCATACATTTTTTTACAGCTTCTCCCACTGTACAGCAGATTATTAGCACAATATGGAAAAGTATTTTTCATCGGAAGCAATGTACGGCAGAACTATAAACAGTTTACTTTATTTTGAATATTCAAAATAATAAATAAGTCTTTTTTACCACGTCTGTATGATATTTTTTTATCTTTGAAATTGTTTTTTTTAGTTCGTTATGAATAAAGACTTTGCTTTCGCTAATATATACAGCGGTTTTTTTGATATGGATAATATTTTCGGCTGAAACAAAAGTTTAGAAGAGTTGAAAGAAATACAAAAAAATTGAAATTTCATGATTGACGAATAGAAAAGAGAGTTATTTGATCATTCTGGTACTTTTGACGTATACTGTTCGACATTTTTAGCAGAGTGACGTTGAAATCAGTCGAGTTTCAGGCACACTGTTGCTTAGGTTTAGGTCGAGTCTTTCCTAAATTGACTGAAATAATTTTTTTAATGGGGTAACTTCCCTAAATCTCCGACTGTTGTAATTCAGTGTCCATTGTGGCATTAGTCGGGAAAGTAGTTGTATTCAGACAGGCACCTGATAGATCTTACAATGTAGGAACGTTGGGAGAGGTGAATGTTTCGAAATTCCAATTTAAAATAATAATTTTTTCAATTTGAAATGGAATCGCTTCATATCTGCAAATTATTTGAATTTATATTGATCAGTATTGTGGAATATTCAATGTACTTTATCAGTAAGTAAGGGGGCGAAATTTCTCCTAATGAAAACGCCATCTATGGGATGGACAGAGAACTCAATCTTCGGATATCAAAGATAAACGATGCTCCCAAGACAGTTTCCCAGATAACAACGGGCCAATCAGCTCAACCCCTTCCTCAAAGCGGCAAAGTGGCAGAACGTGTCATTCTGAAAAGATTAGAGGACCAAACCAACGAACTAGGAATCCTACCAGATGAACAGTTCGGTTTCAGATCAGAACACTCGACAGAGTAGCAAGTCTTGAGGGTAGTAGACTTTGCGACGGAAGGCTTCAACCTCGGCAAAAGATACAACAATGGAGCGATTTTCTTAGACGTCTCTAAGGCGTTCGATAGAGTTTGGCATGACGGACTCCTGGCCAAAATGAGCAACTTTGGCTACACGAAACAAATGGTAACTTTAATCGAGTCTTTTCCAGCTGACAGGCAATGATGCTGCAGCAACAGGCAGATAGATTTGAGAAATGGGCCAACCTTTGGAAGATCAGTATAAACCCTGACAAGAGTCAGGCGATACTGTTCACCCGGAGGCGGGCACACCCAGAGGCGGGCACACCCAGAATGAAACGTCACCTTCAACGGGCAAGAGATTCCATGGACCAACGAAGCTGGGAGTCACCCCAGACAAAATATCAATGTTCAAGTCTCACGTACGGCAGAGAATAGGAATGGCGAGATCTGCCCGACAAAACCTATTACCAATAATAGGTCGAAAAAGCAATATGGGAATGAAAGTGAAGCTGCTGATGATGAAGAACGTACTATTACTAATAATACTGTATGCCTGAACTGCCTGGGGACACTGCGCAGCGGCATACAGAAAACAGATCCAGTCGTTTATGAACGTGCGTAAGGGCCGCCGTAAACGCTCACTACGTAGATGCATATATGAGACAACACGCAGAAGACGCGTTTGACGACAGAATTCGAGTGCAAGACAATCCAGAGCTACGCGATCTACGCAATACACTAAACAGGGATGACCCCAGATTCCGAAAAAGAGATAATCATAGAAGGCCAACAAAGCAGAACCAACGACCACCTCCAAGAGTCGCTGTCAGGCAGCTCCGGTAAGTATACATTTTTTTTCAACAGATAACAAACACTTCCTTTTCAAGTTCAACGAGAAACACTCGATCGCGATCTCTTTTTTTAAAACAATGGTCTCCGGTTAGTTTTTGGGGACCCCATGCAAGAATTCAGTTAGCAATGTCAAGATGAAACAACACATTAGATCAGAAAGTAAAAGCACCTAGAGGCTGACTTTCGATCAAAGAAGGTCAGATGTAAATCTTGCTGAAGTGCCCATCAGTAAGTTGAGGAACGCTCCAGAGGAGCTGGGGTGGATGGACGAGATGGCATGTTTTGCACACAGTAACCGTGTGGGGAAGATCTCAATTCGGGGCACTCAACTTGGGAGGGCGAATGGGGTGGCCATAGGCAGTCAGATGCGAATCCAAGCTTCGGCATCGACTGTCGACGAGATCTATCCTCTGTCTTTCACTACAGATTTTACTGCAAGGCAACTACACAACGCCTTTATGATCCACAGTGACAATAGGTCACGTCAGTTATGCTAGTCTGAACCACAAATGCATTGGTGGACTCAACTGTCCACCAACGATACGAAAACGTATCGACAGAGAACTCAATCTTCGAATATCAAAGATGAAGAACGACGCTCCCCAAGGCGATCATTTACAGAATTAAGCTTCAACATCGACCGCCGACAAGATTCGTCCTTTCTTCAAGGCAACTAGTTGTGAATTATAACCGTTGGCGAGCTTCGTTCATCTCTGATATTCGAGAATTGAGTTTTCTGCCGATCCCGTAGACGGCTTCTCTGAAAAGAGATATATCGTCGCTTTCACTCACTTAGACTTGTCCTTCAAGGACAGTTGATTCCAGCAATACATTTGTGGTTCAACCTAGTACCACTGATGAGACCCATGACGGGTCGAAACCGTGCTGTCTGGTGCTGAAACATGAATGCGTCGTGTTTGGCTGTTATTTACAATCACTTCATTGGTGCTCTGCTCTGAAAGTGAGCGGTTTCCAAAATATTTGCAAAAAAACGAGAAACCATACGGTTTCCACCAGTTTCTCTCTCTAGAATTTTTACGTAAACGAGATTATTTTTACGTAGCACACTCTCATAACATTTCTTTTTGAATTCCTGAATTGATTTGGTTGTATTTATATGGGAAATTCATTTCGTTACATAATTATAATATTGAATAATGTTACTACTCCAAATGTGAAACAAATTGTCGAATGAGCAGTTATTCACTGTACAAATCTAAAAACTGTCATATTAATTTTGATTAATTTTTTAGTGTCGTGAAACATTTCCACCACTAAACTTTCAGATTTAAAAAAAATCTAATTTAACCATATACGAGTAACGTAAAATTCATCATTTCGTGAATACATTTAAAAATTCGTGCTGGGAGATCATCATGAAAAATGAGAATCAAAACTTTATACCACTTTGTATACGAATACAAATATTGTATTCGTTTGGAAAAGTCCGTGTAGGACGAAACTGCAGTAACGTTAGTTATACATACAAAGTGGTATAAAAACATAAGAAACATTCAGAACTATTATTTTCTGTAACTATTGCAAGGTTACGACCTCGACTTCAGTATCTGTCAGATCTCCCAACCACGTGTATTCAGGTTTTAGACGTAATTCGTCAATTCTGTTAGATGAAAAAAGGAATCCATTTTGATACATTTTGAAAGTTTGAGCAATTCGGCTAAATGTTTTCAAGATGGTGTCACTTCAAATTTTACCAGAAGTGGGTATCAGATGTATTACGTTGAATGGAACATCCTGGATGTAATCAAATTATTGAACCCTCATATTCGATACCAAAGTTTGAGTTTTTTATGCATACATGAGTTTTTATCTCAAAAATGGCATTTGCTTGCCCTCAATGTTTGCTATACGAAAGCCTCTCCGGTTTCGGGCTCCTTAGCCACTCGTCAGTGCAAGATAGTGACCATCATCGACCTAAAGTTAATGATATTCCATAATTGAAAATCGAAATTCTTTCGGAGTATTTCATTCCTTGTCTTGAGTTGGAGTGAACAACAAAAATGTCAGTCCAGCTAGTGGACGAGGTACTAACCAACTGCATGTCCGAAATGTGCCCGATTCCTCTGAATAAGGAAGAAACACTTTCGAATTAATCAGTGGGCTATGCTTGAAGACAGGCAGTAAACAAATCTAAAGAAATGAACTTTAAATGTTCAAGTCAGTCTCGGATATACATACATAGTAGGTTGAATGGCCTGACGCCTATTAGAAAACAACTACTCTACTGGCTGATACCACGGACGGCGTTGGATTATATCCGACAGGCGTCAGTGCAGGAATCTTCACAGAAATTTTCCTGCATATGCAATTGGCAATACAAGCATAGCCCACTGACTAATAAGAAAGAAAACACTTTTGTTTAATTTCCACTAGTTATTTCATTTTTACGACCAGTTTCAGGTTTGATCCCATTACCAACTATACAATACACCTAAAAACGTAGTTATATATGAGGTTTGCAGGTAACCTTGATAGAAAAGTAATTAAATGAACTATAAGAATTCAACACTGGAGATTACAGAAATTACCGGGGTTGTGAAACTTATAAACCTGAAGACCTGCATAAATCGAGTCGCTCGTTTAGGGTTATATCATATTTCGGGTTTTTAATTGATTGATTCATTTCCATGGCTTCCAATAAATTCATTTCCTTTCCTTTATTACATGTGTGTAGGTTTTTGATGTTCATACATTGTAGATTTCTTGTCCAAACAGACATGTTCACGGAGCCTTTTGTCAAAATTTCTACCGGTTTGGCTTGTATATATTGCAGAACATTTCCCACACTTTATTCTATATATACCTGATTTTCTTCATCTAGTCTGGGTTTTGCATTGAACATAATTCTTCCAAGATCATTATTAATTATGAAAGATGTTGTTAATTTGTATTTAAAAAAGTAATTTTGAATATTTTCCAAAAGTTTACCTGACTAATTATTACTACATTTACTTGTATTGTGATCTTTGATATTTGGGTATATACCCACGTTTTTATGTTTCAAATGTATTGGTTAGTTTTTATACTCGACGATGAGATAAAACCCGAAACCAGTCGTAACTGTTGGAAATTCGACAAAAGTGTTTTCATTCATTTCATTAGAGTGATATAGAGCATTGAATTTAAAATAACCAAATACACCAACTTCCAACACAAACGGTATTATCGACGATTGATGTACAAACAACATCTGACTGCTATATTTACGAGTATTTTTCATCCTCGAGCACTACACCTCATATGTATTCTATACAGTCTGTTCCTGTTTAGAGTCCGATGAACACTGATATCCTGAAAAACTTACCCGAAGGAGGTGATACTCTCGGAACCGAGCGTCAGTATCTGGTTAGAATTATCTATAGAGTCCTCTTGAGAGTGATTTCCTGTTGTGAGGATGTAGTTTTTGGGGATAGGCGGTTTGTATGCCTTTTCGTATTTGCGAACGGTCGTCTTCCTTCCATGTCGTAATTATTTTTACGAAATGGGTGGGGAGGGGACAATACAAAACCGCATTAATATTGGGTATTTGTGGAGTTCATGAAGAGAATACGACTTCAGTGCAGGTGTTTCAAACAGAGAAGTTTCAAACAATTTGTTTTTCAAAAGAAAGAATGACCTATTTTGTCAGTAGAGTGTCATTGATAACATTAGGAATATTCTGGATTGTTTAGTGATTTTGATAACATTTATGAAGTAATAAATTACTCATGAACATATTTATTTATAGTTTGGGAATAAAAGTGACTATCGTCACTTATCCACACTATACTTTTATTGTTGTTGTTTGTTTCCGATCTTTTTGAATGTAATTCTGATTTTTCCTATACTATACGATCTATATATAATCCTACAGTCCTATACTATATAGTCCTGTTTAATCCCATGAATTACACATAAACTACTGTTTAAAATCTGTTAAAAATCTGTTTTTCCATTAACCAGCTGTCGCACATCTACGAACGACAACCCTCAGAAGTCGAAACTTGTGCGAGCTAAGGATTAACGAGGTCTCACCTATTAACGTGTGGTTCCTAACAAAATTCGTTACAATCGCTGTCGAAATGAGTAGTTCTGTTAGAAATAATTATGATTTTTGCAACATAATGATCTTGAGATACTTATTTCATTTGAATGCTCAAATTTGGATTTTGAGCGATCAATTACTGAGGAACATCCAGTATGTGCAATTGTTCAACACGATCGATTATTTTTTTTCATAAAATTGAAATATGATAATTTGCAATTGTCGCAGAGTAAACTATTATTCTCAAACAGAAACAATAGAAGAACGTTGTGTTTGTATCTTGAGACGCGTATTCACAAAGTGGTTTGCAGAGATTCATCTCAAACTAGCCTCAACCTAATTGTATTCATCATAACTGAAAACATACTACGTGCTGAATTATCGTGTGGTTATTGGAATGAAAAAAAAACTGGATCATGTTGTCACAATTGATGTGATATTCCGTTTTCTCACTTCATTAGGATATCAATTGTCTTAAAACTGAATTACCTTCTGATCGAGAATATACTATCTTCCATCTTTCATTGAGTTCATATCTCATTAATCAAGATGCATAGAATACAGTTGGTGTGATTACTTGGAGTATTGATGAAGAAATAATTACGAGATCCTATAAATTTCAGTCTTTCATTCAAAGAGGTGCTGAGTATACCTCAAGTGACAGTAATTGACAGTGTCAAGTTGGTACTTCAATATTCAATGATATTTCCATTTGGGAGTGAATTGATATTAGGTGTGGTTCATAAATCAAAGATCTGAACAAGATACGAGCTGCAGGTTTCGATTTTTGCCCCATCTATCAACATGGGTACAAAGTTGGATACACTGCTGAGAAATATAGAGTGGGTAATGGATAAATGAAGGCATGTAGGATTGATGTTCTATTGGGATCTTCTAATATTTCAAACAAGTGTTCTTCATCTACATTTGAAAAAGTTTTTGTACATTTTCTGTGGTTTTCAGCAACTTTTTTTTTGATAATAATTTTGTTCTGCGTACTTTTATTTTTTCTTATAGGATCCTCCTATCTATCGTTGTGAGATAAATGATTAATATTTTGATCAATTGTATATTTTCGTTCTAAGATACAAGGTGATTTTTTGAGCAGCGTAATGGAATAGAAGTACAACCTTCGACAGTATATTTTCGTATTGGCACAAGTTTCTTTGTGGCTATGTTAATAGTTATATGAAAAAAACTATTCTGAAGACGTGATTTTTCCGAATGGGATTTGAAAATTACATTCTTTTTATGGATTATTCCTAATAATTGATTATTGTGACTTTCGTCTCAAATTGTTGACACATAATAACTGAGAATGGAAATATTTAACGTTATTTCGCTACGAAAAATATAATATGGTATTGTATTCTCCATAAAAATAGATAGGTCTCCTCAAAAAATTATAATGATAATTTCACAATAATTTGGCAAGAAAGTTCCTGAAGATCAATGACACTCTGAAAATGTTTTGAGAATGTTAGACTCGAAATTAGGTTACTAAAAAATTTGATTCATGCGTAAGAAATTCGAAAAAAGAAGAAGTAACCAATTGAAGAAGATGCAAATTCTGAAACCACCATGAAGATATTAATAAAACATTGAAATATTATTGAACGAATGAACTGTTTTTATTATGAATAATGCTATGATACTGAAGTTTATTGATGTTAATATTATACTTTGCGAAAACGAAGAGAGATATATTCATCAAATATCTTCATTTGCAGCAACGGAATGTTAATTTTTGAAAGTATTATTATGAAAAAGCAATCATTCAGAAAAATATACACGAATGATAATATTGTTGATCTGTAATTTTTGCTTCAAAGTCGGTACAGTGCTATCATGAAATATACATATAACATTCATTATATCTTTCGACATTGAAATTAGGTTTTCACAAAGGTGACGCGTCATTTCCGATATGTTTCATAAGAACCCTGTATTTGAATTTTTTAAAGAGAAGTAAGGGTTGCGGATAGGAACAGGTAACATCAAACACTCAGCTTTCACACAATAAGAATAATGAAAATTTATACAGTCATTATGCACATTTAAGGCCCACACGTACATGCATATCGTAAAATACATTAAAAAGATATACATGCCACATATATACAAGTCCCCTTTTCCCAAAATTTGCCTACATTTGAAAACACTTCATTTGCATTGAATATTTATTCGCTGATTGTGAATTCGAGAGGGTATTTTAAAGTGAATAAAAAATCAGAACGGTTTTGTATTAATTGATAGGTGAAAAGCGTTATTGAATATTACTCTTCTTTCTGATGCTTGGTATCTAATAATAGAAATATATCACTAATATATTTTCTTTGCCTTTGATGCATCAATTTCTTCTATATACTGAAATGTTTTCCATTTTGTATTGACTACGAAATATAAATATTATCGAATAATTAAAGTTCAAATTGGAAGTAGGTATTCACAGCTATTGCTAGAGTGTCTATCGTTTATTCTTTCCAAGCTGTCTTTCGAGAAGTATGTATGTTAGAGGATATCTGTAAAATATACACTGAGAAAAATGAAATTAAAGTATTGTTCGAGATTATCTCTATATCATTTCGTAGTATTGCAATTTCGGAGGTGGATTTCGACGCATGTTTCGTACAATACTTTGTATGGACAAAGTAACTTTTTATGATTACATCTCTCATACCTTCCTGCATGATGATAATCCCTCATTAGAAATAGATATATAGAGCTTTTCAATAAGCTGTCATGAAATCTGATGTCCAACATTATAGATGGTTGGAATTTTGAAAATTATCTATCGTAGAAATCAATGAAAATTGAGGAGCCAGAACTGCAAAAAAAATGAAAAAGAGAAAAATCACTCGAAATCGTCCTTCTACCAACCTCCACTATGGAGTTCAAACTGGTAACCCTATGCATTAATGAACGTCGAAAAACTCTTTGAAGTGATTTTCAATTCAGAAAATATTCAGAGAGTATTCGAAAATTAATTTTGCTGAGCATATAAAAATTTTTGAGATATTTCATTAGTAATTGAACTTGATAAATTTCAGCCCACACAGTCTCTTTCTGCGGATGCTGAGTTTTCCCTTTCTCAAAAAGCAAATACTTCACAAGACATTCTTATTTTTCTTGCAACTTTTCGAAACTAAAATAGTAGTTCTCAAATGATTGTCCTGGCTTGCATACATGTAAATCATGTTATTTCTTCTGAAGAATGAATCAATTTCGTGAATAAGTTTGTCTAGAATGAATCTATGCGACAATTTTTGAAAACAACACTGGATACAACTGAAAAAGATTTATGGCGACATTACTTATTCAGGTTTGTTCATATATTATTTTATTTCCTTGTGCTGGTATCTCGAAAAAAAAATGGGGTTTTTCATTCTCTAAATATTTATGCTGTCAACTTTCAATTTATAAAAACTACATATGGAAAAATGACATAACATCAACAGAGAGTATCATAATAAATTCGGAAAAAAAATACACAAGATATATAATTACAATATATACTCGTATAAAGAGAGTATGTTGAAATTGTGCATACTTTGGTTATATTTGTATGATGTTGTATTTCTAAATTCATTTTATTTTTATTTAAGTGGAGTGTTTTTTGAAGTTTAATAAAGAAACGCCTAACTGGTAGGTTAACGTAATTCAACAACTTTATTTAAATACTGATAAACAGTTTAAAAGAATTATACATGATATAAAACTTACTGAACTTTTCACTGTGATTTATATCATTCATTCATTATAATTTCTGGTGGTTTTGTTGTTTTTCAGTTGTTTGTTATTATTATTTAGAAAGGCAATTTCGTATAAATCAGCATAACATTTTGTGAATTTTATACCATTCATACATGCACTAAAAACTCTACTGGTGCAACAATTGCGAGAAAGTTGGACATGCAACAGTTACAAACTGGTCGGGTACTGTAAGATTTACAACTTTCCGCAGCATCCCATTTTTGCGGTGGAAGGGGGTTTGGACTATGTTAATTATTTAGTGATTCTCTATCACACTATGATTGGACTATGGTGTTTGCGTAGTGACTGATAAATTGCCCAAGTTTCGGAAGTGTTATTGTTTCAAAATATTTCGATATTAGGTATACAGTTGAGGTTCCATAAAATATATGCCACAAAATGTAGGGTAAAAATTGGGTAATTTTTGGAATTATACTTCATAGTCCATTCGATGGATTGGGATTCATTTACACATTTACTGTATATGATGAAATTTTTTCAATTCAGTTCAAGGACTGATCGGAACGTAATCAAAACTTATTTATCTGATCATGAAAATGACGAAACTGTCTAGAAAAGTAGAATTTTTCGATACTGAATCAAAGAATGTATATGAACATATTGAACGAAACTTAGTTTTTTGTGGAGGAAATTCAGTTTTTCATCGACCTTTTCGA